TGAGAAACCAATCTATAAGACAATAACATCATAAGGGGGGGGGGAGGGAATTCTGTAAGTTAAATGTAATAGGAGGTCTATGGCTGGGTCTCTGTTACCTCCTGCTATCTATACAGTGGTACCTTGGGTTTTGAAAGTAATCTGTTCCGGAAGACCATTCGACTTCTGAAACGTTCAAAAACCAAAGCTTTTACTTCCAGAAAACTCAAAACAGAAGCCGTGTGGCACATTCGACTTCCGAAAAGTGTTCGAAAACTGAAGCAGTTACTTCCAGGTTTTCGGTGTTCGGAAGCCAAAACGTTTGACTTCCAAGACTCTCGAAAACTGAGGTAGCACTGTATATGGTTTTGTAGCAACTACACCTCCTGAACAGAGCAGCTGTATTTAGATGGCTCACTGGTTCCCTCCAGTTTCCTTCCTATTCCTCCCTCATTCTAGCCTGTCTTTCTTTCTTTCTTTCTTTCTTTCTTTCTTTCTTTCTTTCTTTCTTTCTTTCTTTCTTTCTTTCTTTCTTTCTTGGAGGGGGACTCTGCCTGGCTAAATCCCTTCCCATGAGTTGGATTCTAGGCTGCACTTAATGTGTGACTGCTGGTAATGTATGCTAGATTTTGTGGACCTGAATCTACAGTGACACCAAAGCTGAAATTCCAGTGCAAATGCTCTTTAGGGATTCTTCTCAATGGCCCAAATTGCACGGGTTGTGTTAGTATGAGGGAGCATATGAATGAGAACTTCACCATACAAGTACTCAGTCTGGGCTGGCAAACAGAAGCAAGGGTTGAAAATTAATGGCCCCGAGGACTCCTGAGAAGGCAGGCTCTAAAGTAAGTAGCATCTAAAATTTTGAAATGAAAATGGAATATGAGGCATCCCTTGGGTTCTGTGCATTCTGATGTTCTGAAATTGCAACAGAAAGTATTATAAAATTGAAAATACTTGGCAACTTTAATGCAACTCTTGTTTTCACATGTCTTTCAAAGTAATGTACTGGAAATCCTAATAATGAGGTTCCATCTCCCTTCAGAAAAAAATAACTTCTTCTAAAAAAACCCTTTTTTATAGTAGCAAGGACTACTAAAAAATCCCTCTTTTCATCTTTTCCTGCCTATGTCCTCAACAGCATCCCCTGGAGATGAGTTTCAGTATGTATGTATTTATATTTGTATGTACGTATTTGCATTTTAAAAACTTATTATCCTCATTTCTAAAAACAAAAAAAACCCTGCAAAAGTGGCTACTCCCACCCCAAAAACATCAAGCAGTATTTCAAAAAGCACATGCCAGTCATAAAACTCCAATAATAACATCATAAACCGACAACGATGACAATTTCTGGGCACAGCAAGCCATGAATACTGTGAGAATGAGCCTAGCATCCCTGAACTGCCTGACTTTGTGTATCTGAACCTCTGCTAATTCTAGTGAGAACATGAACTCCTACTTTTTGTTTTCTTACAGAGTCTTTATTATACTCCCCCACCCTTTGTGGACTGCTTTATTTCTCCCCCTCCCTCATTTAAGAGCACCAAGATGATGACAACCAGTTGAGCTACAACATACTCACTTGCTTTAGGCCAGACTGTACTTAGCCAAAGACTGAAATTCAAATACGTTTGTGTAGGGGGAGCTATTATGCCCACTTCAAGACAAGTGTTTTGCATTAGTCTGGCTCTCCATTACAAAGCGAACAAAAGCATTTGCCACACCTCTCCCTTCCCCTGCTAGTGTCTTGAGGTAGAAGCGCCTTCCGATTGGAGGCCCCAGAGTGAGCGTATATGGAAACCACATGGCAAAATAAATAGGAGACAAGCTCGGGGGCCCTACAACCTTTATGCGTGTGTGGCGAGGAAGGGCTAAAAACACACAGCTTTGAAACAAGAAAGAGCAAAAGACACTGTAACTCTGCAGCCCCCTTCTCAAATAAAAAGCCCACCCATTTGCGAAGTTCCCATCTTCAGTGTATAATTTCATTTCCCCTCGTTTGCTTTTGCTAATCATTCTATACACTGTCAGAACATGCTGAGTTACAGCCAGCAGGATTTAACTTTATTTCCCCTCTCTTTCTCCCTACCACAGGCAAATGGTCTTTAAATAGAAGAGTGTGGAAATTGCCTCCATGCCAGTTTCTCGTCAGAACTAGAAGCGATTATCCATTTTAACATGTACTGTTGGATAGGTTGCCATGATAGTAATATGTCCCCTGCCCTCTTTCATAAAAAGAAACTTTCTTCAGTTGGGGGAATCTGGAAGCACCCCCCTCTCTCTCTTATGCAGTGTTGGGTCACAAAATCTCTTGGCAATGTCATAGGAAAGCTACAAGTGGACCTGTCCGTGCTGACTCCTCTGTGGCAAACTCCTTGACAAAGGCTGCCCAGTGCTAGGGAAAACTCTTCCAAGAGGAACATTTTTATCTGTTGAGTTTTGTTTCATGGAATTTATATTCCCATCAAATGGTTTCCTGCCGTCCCCTGTAAACTCAATCAGCCTAATGGAAGTGACACAAAAACAAAGTGTTTCTCAGCTGGGGTAACCATGGAGAAGAGAAAAGGCATGCAGAGAGCTAGCCAAGTGTTAGGATTTTATAGGCACAGTGTTAAAGGTCTCAAGGCAGGATGGGACTTTGTTCAGCGAAATATCAGCAGGGGCAAAAAAAAAAGCAACCAGAAAGGGAAGGGGAAATATGGAAATGATAGAGCCACATGGGTACGAAAGCTGACTGATGCATTGCCATCAAAGATGCAGGCAGGTTATGGGGAAGAAAGGTGTTCTCTGCAGCAAGGCACTGGCAACTTCACTGGGTTTCCTTCTATGGTCATGTATTTCTTGCCTCGAGAGGAGGTGGGGAAGATCCTGTATTTTGAATGCTGTCATTCAGAAGGATTGAGTAGAACACAGAAATGTTTCTTCTACTTCAACATGCAGCCCTACATCTTGAGATCAAGGGAAGGGTTGGCTATTACTTTCACTCAGCACAAGATTCCATGAGCTTCCGTGGATGTTGCAATACAGTGGTTGGGAACCTGTGGCCCTCCAGATGTTTCTGGACTCAAACTCCTATCACCCTTATCATTGACCATGTTGGCTGGGGGTGACGGGAGTTGGCTTCCAACAACATCCAGTGAGCCTTAGTTTCCCCAACCCTGATGTCATTTATGTCAAAACATGATTCTTAAACACCCATGAACTGCTCACTGAATATAGGATATTTTTGACCCATCCCTCCCCACTCAAATCAGTCATGTAAAAATTACCCACTTTCACCCATTTGAAAGCTCATATTTTTATTTCTTAGTTTTATCCTCAATTGAAATTCCCCAAATATTAGACCAAAGTAGAATATCCTAGATCAAATGGAACCAGGTTTGTGCTGGAATTCAAGTACTCATCTCCTGCTCAGACACCAATTTCCATCTCAGACACCAGTTTCCATCTTTCGATTCTCTCCATCCATTTGTTTTGTGCATTTACTATTCACCTACTGTAAGCCAATACCTTTTATTTTATTTCCCTCATTTGAATCTCTTGCACAGTCACCTGGAGGAAATTGTTGTTCTCTTTCCACTAAGTGTAGTGTAGCTTGGGCAGCTTAATGTGTCAGGTGGTACAAGAAACAAAAACAAAAAAACTGTGGCTGCACCTTTTTGCATTGTAACTAAAGCTCCTTCTATATTTTGATCCAATAACGTGAATGAGGGCCAATTTGGTTTCTTGCCAGAGTCAGAGTGGGACTGTCAGCCACTTCTGAGAGGGCCAATGCAGGAGAAAGAAAGAGAAAAGAAATCACAAAAGGACTGCAAAATAGCTCATCCAAGAACATTGGGGTGGGGGTTTTACTTCCATGTGTTCTTTCAGGGAAGGTGAATGTGCAACTTACAATGGAGAGAAATCCAAGAGGGTTTTGCACCCCATGTGAAGCAAGATGTCAGTGGTAGTTTCACAGCAACTGAGTCAAGGAGTCCAAAGGCAGCAGGCATAATTGTTAGGCTGTTACATTGTGGTGTCATGCTCCCAACACAAAACCGTCTGGCCAGTTTTCTCCAATGTCTGCCAAAGTGGATTCAGGCACAGCTTGAGGTTGTGAAATACAGCTACTGGTGCATAATTTTTCTTGGCTTTGCAGTGTGCCTTTTATGGACCACTGCACCCAATACGAATTGCTGGACCTTGAATTGAGAGCATTTTTGCCCTGTAGATACTTAACTGCCAGTGTGTGGTGATAGCAGTTGTTTTATTTATTGAGGGCTTCATAACAAACAATGCCATGCAGGTTGGGAAAGATCCATCTGAAATAAATGTTTGTATGCCTTGGTCAAGAAGCTATTGGTTTATGATTTACTTATTTTTTAGATCCAGCACTACAAAGGTGTTCCAGGATTTCTAAGGTCCTTCTTCATGGTTCTTTAACTTTGTGTCTTATTTCTGTAAACTTCTCTGTCCTCTTCCTGTTTGCAGGCTAGGCTAAAGGGAATTTCTCTTTCCTTGGGATTTCCTTGGAGAAACCTATTCTGCACATGATGCTACACCATGGCTTATTAAACAATATTTTGTTAAACCATGACATAGCGCTATATGTTAACCCTTTCCAGCAGCTTAACTATGGATTGCTTACTGTCAACAAACCACAGTCAGAAGCCATAATTTGTTGTTGGTATACAAATCTTGGTTTGTTTCAGTTATGGCTTAGTTTTACATGCAAACCCAGCACTCATCTTTAATTATAGTTTGTTTGACCATCCCACTCCAGAAAGGCACTCATCAAACTACAAAGGCCACAGGGCAAGAACAGCTAGAAAACAAAGCAAGCTTTAGAGAAACAAGATGTGGTTTGGTCAATCATCTGTGAGACAACTTGTGCTTAAACAAACTATGGCTTAAACAAAACACAGCTTAGCATTATGCACAAACCGGTATAGATAGGCAAGGATTTGTTTTCTGGAATCAAAATCCTTGAAACCGAAAATCCGAAAACTAATATATATTCTCTATCTTTTGGGTTTTAGATCGGGCTTTGGTATCAAGCAATATTGGCATCCCACCGCATCTGATCCACCGCATCCAGTATCCAGCCTACACTAGTCACACATCTCCCGTGGTCAAGAAGCTTGCGGAGCAAGACAAATTAAGAATTTCCAAGTTGCTGTCAGCACCTCGGATAAGCATTCAAGGACTGAGCAGCAGGGAGAACAGCCTTGCTCACATCCCCCAGCAGAAGCACAGCCGCGGGTCTCAAGACGTAGGTGTGGCTGCTGAATCAAGTCCAGCAGTGTCACGATTCAGCATAGCAACTAGTCCCCTTTACGTTAGCAGGGAATTCTTTGATGGTGGCCTAGTCCCCATAAGCAGCTTTTTCCCAGAGGGAGCCTCAGCTCCAGGTAACTTTGTCATTTTTGCCAAAAAAAGAGCCCCTTTCTGTGTGTTACCAATGAAGCCACTAGATGCCTCCAGTATCAGAAAAGGCAAGAAGATGCAAAAAGCCTCCTCGGATTGGTCCACATTAAAATCCTTCGGCAACTAATATTTATTTTTGGGCCGTTTTCTTTAGAAATCCAGACAGGAGGGTTCATTTATGTGGGATATATTGTGCAGAAGAAAAGACTGACCAGAATGAGAGCATATGAAACCAGATGTCAAACATTAGAGGTCTTTTCACACTCTCACAGAAGTGGCTGAGCACAGTAGGTTATGGGGCCACAGATCTGTGCCTGATCATGCCAGCTCCTGCCCACCCATTCTTGCCCCAGAAATGCTTTGCCTTCAAGTGCTGGACACAATTTCCCAGTGATGTATCTCGCTGATATAAAAAATGGTTAAGGATATGGTCACACTGCAGTTTGCTTGGCTGCAGACAGGTGGTGCTGTAAACTACAGTGTGGCAAGCTGGTGGGCAGGTAGGCGGCCCAGGTGAGGAGAGGAGGAGTGATCCAGAGAGTAGAGATGCAAGCCTAGGTGAGGTGAGTAGGAGGGAACTGGAGAAGGGAGACATAAAAACGCTGGGATAGCTCAGTTGGTAGAACATGAGACTCTTAATATCAGGGCCATAGGTTCAAATCCCGTGTGGGGCAAAATATTCCTGCATTGCAGGAGGTTGGACTAGATGAACCTCAGGGTCACTTCCAACTCTACATTCTATGATAAGCAGGAAGCCCAGGCAAGAGAACCAAGTGAGGTGAGGAGGTGGGAACCCAAGGACAGAGATGCAGGCAGGTGGATGGCCCAGGAGAGTGGTCCAGGAGACCCTCAGAGGTATGGTAAGATCTGAGACATTCTTTGGGTGAGCTGTAAAGGCAGGGGGAGAGGGTTGGTGAGGTTGGCGACTGAAGTGAGTAGGGATGCAGCCCCTATTGTGTACATAGAATCCCACTGCCCATATTTAGTACATGCAATTGCCTGCACCCTTGATTTTGAGAAGGTTCACGTGTCATTAAGCATATGAATGTAAGATGCTATAAGCAGAGTCTTGGTAGCTGCACATTTATTGTGAGGGCAAATAAGATCAACCCTGTAAGATCAGTTCAAGGCCCATCTGGTCCAGCATTCTGTTCATTTGGTGCCCACTTGCGATTCCCAGCATACTGCTTCTGACTATGGAGGTGGAATATAGCCAAAGAGGCTCATAACGGTTGTTAGCCATTGTTACTTTACTGGGTGAAAAACAGGGTATAACTTGAGGAGAAATGAACACAGAGGTTCGTCTTCCTTAGGCCAGGTTGACACAGAGGAATAACTCCTCCCGAACCGCTTTTCCCTCCAGCTCCTCAAATGGTCAAATCTCAGCAGTCTTCCTCACTGCCAGCCAACTTCCAACTGACTCGAGTCTCCAACTCATCAGTCTGCTGTCACACTTGCCAATTACAAAAGTACCACCCCCCCATACAAAGCTGCAAACTGAACATTTGCTGTGCTTCCAACAGTTCCCTCATGACCCAGTTTCCTGCTTCTCTTTTATGGACTCTCCTGAGGACAGCAGGGTTGGAAGGGGTTGTGCCCAGATCAGTTTAAATGACCACCCTTATCCTAACAATGTTTTCAGTCTTGTGTGCTGGTTACTTAATTCATTCTTTGTATTATGATAACAGCCCTTGAGCTGGCTGTGTTTAATGCATGTTGCCATTTCCCAAAACTGAATAAAGATAATGTTTCGAAACAAACAAACAAAGGACATACCTGATAAAGAAGGCAAGACTTCACAATAAGTCTCTTCCTGTTTTCTGCTATCTCTTATATTAGAAATATCTTCCTAACCTTCCTAAATAATGTCTGAATACATTCACTTTAATAATTATTATTTAAGAGAGATCTGAAGGCAGCCCTCTTTAGGGAAGTTTTTAATACTTAATGCTGTGTTGTTTTTAACACTCGATTGGGAGCCGCCTGAAACTCAGCCAGATGGGTGGGGTATAAATAATACATTATTATTATTATTATTATTATTATTATTATTATTATTATTATATTAATTTTTCCCTACCTCACCCCCAGATCCCAGTATTTTGGGGGTGGCTTTTGATTGATCTGCCACCAGCCAAGAGAAAGACAGAATGTAGCACTTTCATTGTTGTCCAACCGTGCCTGGTGGTTATGTTAAATGAACAGTGAAAGGTGAGCAAAGGGTTAATAAGGAAAGACCAAAAAGAGTAAGTCAGTACTCCTGACTGACACTATGTATAAAAATGGCAGACCCCACTGATTACTATAACATGAAACACTGACTCCCCACCCCCGTCCTGTCCCGTCCTGCCCCTGCTCTGCTCTAAAGGGGCTTTGTTGTGCTATGTCTGGGTAGATTGAATCCAGGTGTTCCTGTTGGTGTACCAACAGAATCCAGGTGCTGTCTGCCTTGTATAAGTGATATATCGACTAACCTCACACCAATGACAACGTGGTCAGATTTACACACACACACATACAGAGGCAAACGAAAACGACCTGCAGGAAAGGGCAAAAAGTCTGTATTTTTAAGCAGCCAATTTGAGAATTTAATATTGTGCAGTTAGAGCAGATGGATATTGTACATGAGAGCCAAATTAGCATGGTTTATAACTTCCTTGCTCAGAACAGCAATAACTTTGGTGGTAATTAAGGGCCAAGGGTTTGCTTTGCCAAGTAATTTATGGATGAATCTGGTCTAGTTATGGATGGTCTGGTCCAACATTAAGCCCTGCATGGTATTTGAAGGCTCAAGAGTAACGCTTATTGAGCAGGGATGGGCACATTTGTCCTGGATAAAGAAACAGCCAAGAAGAGAGAGGAGGGGTTTTTCTAAGGACATTATATTGATGTGGTGGTTTACGGTGGAGATAGCCAGGTTTACAGCATTTCATGGGTAGGCCTGGATCAGTCAAACACCTTGCCACATAGTGCTGTTGTGATAATGAGACTGGTTCAGGGGATGGATGCTGCCCTGAACTCTGTGGATGAAGGGCAGAGTCAGTGCAGAATGTAAATGTCTGGAAATAAAGAGTCTCTGAGCATGTGCACATTTCCTTTCTGAAATCACTCCGTAAGGAGGGCTTGTCCCTACCAGGGCTGGATTTAGGTTTGATGAGGCCCTAAGCTGCAGAAGGTAATGGGGCCCTTTATATGTCCAGCTGTCCTTTGTCAGCAACAAATTGTCACTGTTTTTTGTGTTGAATATATGCTATATGGTAATTTATGGACCTAACAGGTATCTAAAGCCATTTGGACATGCAGAATGTAGGCACCCTATATATAGAAATGAGCAAACCAGTGATATTTTAGGGAGCAGGCTAGCAGGCAGGGCCCCTTAGTTACATCATAGGAGCCTACACAACACTGTACATTGTTACTGTAGGTTTAATTTTATTTGTTTTTTTATCTTATATTTTGGAAATGTACATCCAGGTTTTTTCCCCTTGAAATTTTTTGAGGCCCCCAAGAGAGTAGGGCCCTAAGCTGTAGCTTGTTTAGCTTATATATAAATCAGGCACTGGTCCCTATGCCTATGGGAATGGATTCCAAACACATTCCCAGCACAACAGTTTTTCTTTATAGAAAAATGATCCATAGCTGCTGTTTCTCCTACTTTGATTGCTCTGGGGATCCCAACTTCACGTGAATGCGAAACCATCTTTGCTGTAGGCTTTGTTGTTACTCAGGTATTGCAGGCTTCAAATGTTACCCAGATATTCCATCCTTTTCTGGTGCTGCCCAGAAGCCCAAGTGGCAGACAGGGTAGCTGCCATTTCTAGTTTTTGTGCCTCACTGAATGCCAGTGGCTCTCCCTTTTCCAGGCTGGCAGCAATTTCAGACATTAATTTTTAGGAGTAGAAAAAGTTCTAAGATCTATTCCAATTGCCACTTTGTAATGCTTCCACACTTGCCAGTCTCATGTACCTCTGAGAGGAGACACCCTTTCAGAAACAAAAGGAAGTCTGTCTTTGCGGAGCAAACCTCACATGCAGCGGCCATGCATCTACCGGTAATTCTAATTCTCAGCAGTGACGGTGTTGTTAAGGTGGGGCTTTAGATCCATATTGTTGCATGCCACCCCAATCTCCAAGCAGTGCAAGATCCCAGGGGTTCCAGGTGCTTAAAATGAAAACGCACACACTCACACATACAAATCACAAATGGCTGCAACGAGGCCATGTCCGTTCTTTTCCTCACTCTCCCTTCTGGTCTGCCACGGTTCCACATTTCAGGGGCAGCCTTGCCTCTGTAGGAGATTGGTATGATGTCAATGCTTGGAGTGGGTGAGGTGGAGGAGGCAGAAATAAGTCTTTTATACATTTCCCCAGCTCTGCAAGTGTGAAAGGGAGTGTTTATGGCTCTTTGCATACACACAAGTGCTTTGTGTATGCCCAGCGCTGATGGCATTGTGTGTGTGTGTGTGTTTCAGCAGTAGCGCTCAAAGCAGCCTGTTTCTGGACATGCCCATCACTCTGAGAACTGACTTGGGAGATAACACAGCCATGAGTCTAAGCAGGTTGAATCAAAAGTTCAGTCCCAGTGAGTTGAACAGGTGGTGCGCTCAGGATGGCAAGCCCTACTCCCATATGAGGAAAAGGAAACACTGAGGACCTCTTTGGGCAAGGAGGGGGTCTGGAGTGGAAGCTTAACTACTACTACTACTACTTATTACAGTCATAGACCAGCATACGGAGGGAGGGATACAATCATTTTAAAAACTCAAAAAAAGGATATAAAAGTTAAAATAGAAAGTATATATAAAAGTCTATAAAAATCCAAAAGAAGCTAAGAGAGACTAAAAGAAGGGCGAGGAACATTAGACAAGAGTGAAAGCACATAAAAAGTTTAGTATATATAAGACTATAGCCATCAGTCTACAGAGCACTCTAATGAGTGCTCATTATATCTAGTTTGTGGCACAGGTCATCATCTGACAAATTTTGAGCGCTGCTGTGCAGAATCCAGCAACGTTGTATGTTGTAGCAAGATTGGTATCTGAAAGCATTAGGGAGGTATAGAATTGTCCTGTGCGCCCTGGGGACTTATGCAGTGATTGTAAGATGAGGCTAGTATGAATGTCTCTATAATAAAGACATCGGAGAAGCACATGCCCTGTTGTTTCTGGAAGCTTAACAAAATGTGGGTGCAAGCCTACAGACAGGGTGCGCATCAAATGACTTCTGATGCAAATCTGGATCCATGAGATCGCCACTACACCCACTGGTTGTGTCAGAATTAAGGATGTGATGATGGGTGTTCCCACATCATGCATCTGCAGGAGCAGCTCAAGGGCATTGTAGTTTATGATGTGACTGCTAAAATAGGAAGGATTTCTCATACTGCTGCTGTGGTTGAATAGTTTGCAGCGCCATGGCTTCCTCAAAGTGAAAATCAGCTGCAAGGGTAATAAAGCCGAGACCCCGAACATAGCTTGATATCAGAGGACACTGAGGGAAGACATTCCACTGATGGGGAGAGATACCTCCATTCACACTATACTTTTAACACATCCTGATGCCACACAGTCTTGGCTTGTCCCAAAGAATCATGGGAACTGTAGTTTGCTAAGGATGCTGAGTGTTGTTAGGAAACCCCTTGCAGAACTATAGCTCCCAGCACCCTTAAAGAACAGCAGTTCCCAGGATTCTGTGGGGAAAGGCAAGACCGTGTCAAAGTGCCCTAAGAGTGCTTTACATGTGCAATGATCGCATTCAAACATGCCCTTAAAAAAATAAAAAAGCACCCTGTTCAAGATCAGAACAGTGTAGCTCACAATAGCAGATTTCCTTCCATGGGAGGGATTGTAATCTGGACCGTGATATGGGGTGGGGGCAGACCTATACTCACCCATGTTCCACATTTCCATTCTTCAACCAACACCCTCCCACCCCCAGCACTGCTTCTTTGCAAAAAATGTATGTTAAATACATGATGATATTTAATGAACTGTGTAGTTCAGTGGCGAATGTTTTTCCAGGAGCTGGATGCCAGTGGTAGATGGGACCAGGGGGAAAGTGGGCAGAGTAACAGATACGATTCTTAGGGCTCATCCACACTTGCCTTCATCCAATGTGAAAGTTTTGCCTTCAGTCCTACTGCCTTCCCTGGGAAATCCCGTGGTTTATCACTGAATCGGGACAAATGCCGATTGGGTTTCCTGCAGGGAAAGTGGCGGATGAAAAAGGAAAACCTCTCGCGCCCATGCCTGGAAATCGCAGCACAAATGGAAATGCATATGAGCCCTGGCTTTTGTGCAGCAGGCTACATTCCAGCCATGCCAAGGCGGTAGGTTTCTACCCGCACATCTCTCCCTCCAGACAGGCAAGAGGCATTGCCACAGTTCAAGGACACATTCCAGCCAGGCAAAAGCACTCAAGGTGGGTGCAGAGTAGGGCTGGTTAGAAGCAGGGCTTCTTTTCAGCAGGAATGCACCGGAAAGCACTTCCGGCACCTCTTAGGTGGGTGCCCTTGCAGGCCCCGTAGCTGGGAGGAGGAGAGGATGGGGCCAGAGAAGGAGTGGGACCTATGGATAGGGAATTGCCTGGGGAGTCTTGAGGCCTGGAGGTCCGCATTCAGCC